GTTATTTCCTAATGTTCAATTCTAATGAGCTTACAGCATACACAAAAAATGTGTACAAGCACCAATTTTTGTTCTGACCGGAACAATTATCCAGCCAAATAACAACTTCTTCGGAATCCCTAATTTTGTTTAAAAATGCATAAAATGTGCTAACAATATCAGCCTTTTTTCTTCCAGAAATAGCTTCATGTCATAGAACAGCAACTGTAGAAGTTTTAGAAGTACCAACTGGAACAAAGCTCTCATTAAAGGCTATCAGTCTAGGAGTAAATATAATTTCTTTGAAAGTATCGCATCTTGGGAGCATAATCACCTACAAAAAATTGTGTAAGGTCAAATATAACAGATATTATTCAAAATAAAATTCATACCTTCTGCAGATCAGCTGTATAAACTCTAGAATCGCCCGACGATCTGGAATCAGCGTAGTACATCTCTCGGGCCTTTATAAATTTTTCTCGATGATTTTTATATGTTTCGCATTCAGGACAAACTAGACCGTCATCTAACACGTGTGAGCTTTCTTTTTTATGAATCTCGTATTTTTCACAAGTAAAACACTCTTCGTTTCCAAGCTTTGCAAATGAAATATTAAGCTCACTAACGATTTGACGATATAAATAATACGAACATTGAATATTGTACTTTGCTTTAAATGATTCATACATTAAAATGGCCAACTATATGGCCTAGGAGACAAATTCGTTAAACTTCCCGTGCTCGAATTGGTATCACTAAAGTGTTATGATCATTTCGGCCTATCCCAGCCATCGTCAGACACTTGGGCTGATACAAATTCAAACTCGGAAAGTAAAACGAATGTCTCCCAAATCTTCACTACCGCGTAGTTAGCTTATAAAGGCGCCCTCTACTTTGAAGGCCGTGAACGAAACGATATGAATAATCGTTTTCTGTATCCTTTATGCTATGCGAAATGTGTAAGAATTAAATCTTTTAGCGAAAGCCGCTATCGCTTTATGTATTAAAATGGCCAACTATATGGCCTAGGAGACAAATTCGTTAAACTTCCCGTGCTCGAATTGGTATCACTAAAGTGTTATAATCATTTCGGCCTATCCCAGCCATCGTCAGACACTTGGGCTGATACAAATTCAAACTCGGAAAGTGTCTGACGATGGCTGGGATAGGCCGAAATGATCATAACACTTTAGTGATACCAATTCGAGCACGGGAAGTTTAACGAATTTGTCTCCTAGGCCATATAGTTGGCCATTTTAATACATAAAGCGATAGCGGCTTTCGCTAAAAGATTTAATTCTTACACATTTCGCATAGCATAAAGGATACAGAAAACGATTATTCATATCGTTTCGTTCACGGCCTTCAAAGTAGAGGGCGCCTTTATAAGCTAACTACACGGTAGTGAAGATTTGGGAGACATTCGTTTTACTTTCCGAGTTTGAATTTGTATCAGCCCAAGTGTCTGACGATGGCTGGGATAGGCCGAAATGATCATAACACTTTAGTGATACCAATTCGAGCACGGGAAGTTTAACGAATTTGTCTCCTAGGCCATATAGTTGGCCATTTTAATACATAAAGCGATAGCGGCTTTCGCTAAAAGATTTAATTCTGATTCATACATTAGTTTTATAGTTATGTCGCTAGGCAAGTATAAACGGTTCGGAGCATGTGCTCGTCTATAATGCGATGTCGTAGGATTAAAGGACTGTATATGACTAATGATTAAATCTCTGTCAAATTTTTTTAAGCTGCCTCCTCGTTTATCTGTGTTAGGTTTAAGCGATAATTGGGAACTCTTTAAAGCTGTTCTAACTGGCTTATCATTTTTTTCATGATGTCCTAAAGTTGTCAGATAAAATACTTTACAAATATTTTGAGGTATTCCTTCTTCATCTTTTAACTGGTAGATAAATATAAAAGAGCGCCGAGAACTATCTGAATTTCTAGTTGCGCATCTTTTTTTGGGAATCTTTAAAATGGAACTTGAATAAAAAGCTTTCTGTTCCTCGGAGGAAAGATTCCAAAACTGCCTATTTATATCTTGCCGTCGAAGAGTTGAAACTTTATTACTGCAATTTTTCTTGCAAGTAGCCAAACAGCTTCCATATATTTTGTGTTTATTGACTAACTTTTGCATTTTTATTGAACGTCGTTCACTTAAACTTTCTTCTATTTTTTTCCGTTTTCTTAACTGTCCCTTTTTAGTGTATTTTTTGCTCTCTGATTTGTCTATTGCGCTTTGTATAATACTGTGAATTAAATTATTAAAATAGTTATAATTATTGGTAGTACGATGTTCTTCCGTATCTGTCAATAAGTTGTTTAAATTTAATTCCGAAATAGCTGATGAGCTCGTTGTTGAAGCAGGTTGTAATAGGATATTGCTAATAATATGTATATTTTGGTCGCTAACGTTATTATCTGTGTCCCAAAATTCTTCACTTGAGGAAGATGTTGAAGGAAGGTAGTCTCTATCTCTGTCATCAGACACGTCAGATTCAACATCTGACTGAGCTATATTCGACAGCTCGTTATTTGTTTCTGCGGAATTTAAAGCCAGGTCCACCAACATTTTACCTCGTCCTCTAAATTCTGCTGAAACAAATTTTTTCATCAAGTAATTTGACAAAGCAATAATTATTTTTATAGTTTTTAATAGAACATAAATAATATAAATACCTATTTGGTGTGAAAACCAAAGTGACATAACCTTATTTTCGAGATAATCAATTTACAATAACTTCAGAACCAAAAACATATACTTTGACACATAGGTACAAGGTAACAATTTGTATTTGTTTAACTTTTTATATAAATTAGTAGAAAATATACTTACTAGTTGTTTCTGCAAAATTATTATCCATATTTATTATGAACAACAAACTAAACACATTCTATGAAAACACGAAAAAGTAAGGTTAGAAATAAAGTAAATTGACAGTTTACTACTTTTCGTACCAACATAATAATATCTTGAAATGTTAAGTGAATAGGCCGTATCTGCCGAAAACTTTTTGGTTACGGCTTTTTGTGTTAACATTTACAGTTGTGGCTTTTAAAGCTAACATTTTAGTAGAAAATTCAGATACGGCTATTAATTTAAGCAGTATATATCCGGTTTTATTGCAGATATGGCTACGAAACTCAGGTAGATTTGTAGAAAAGATTACTAACTAACGCGTGGGACATCAAACTCGTTTTTAATAAAAATTGCAGTTACGCCCTTTTGAGTTAACACGGCAGTATGTACTTGAAATGGTATGCTGTAAACCAATATTTTAATTACTAGTGTTCCAAGAAATACATTTGCTCTAACCGATTTGTCCATTATAAGCAATATAAATGCGTTTTTTGTATGTTATTTTATGGGACCTACTATTTTGTTTGTTATATCTGATTGTACGTTATAGCTGGTGTTGTTGTAAATGATTTTGACTGTACTGTATTACTCTTTTTGGTAATTTAAAAATAACATCAGATTGGGCAGCTGTACTAGAACTTCAAAAAGGAAGGCCATATCGAAGGTGAGACTCAAACAAAGAAAAATATGTTAGTTTGGAATATGCTAAATTGATTTCCTTTGAAACAGATCTTATTGCATATCAGACTGAGGCTAGTTTCTTACTTAACAAATCAATATGAAGGAACCATTTAAGGTTGCTGTCTATAAAACTACCAAGAGGTTTTATAGAATCAATGATACTATCTGGCTGTTATTAAGAAGCAAGGGTTGAAGAGCTCCGTTATAAGTGTTGTATTATGCACATTCAGAGTAAATTAGAGTTGGGCCAGATTTTTATTTTAAGTAGATCAGAAGTTATAATTGCAAGAAGAGTTGCAATATTAGAGTTCCTCCAACTAATATGGAAAAGTAGAGGACCCAGTACTGAACCCTGTGGTACTCCACATGCAATGCTTTCGTGACTAGAGTCACTATCATTTGCTCTAACTAGTTGTTTCCTATTCCTTAAGTAAGATTGGAACCAATTTAAAGAAATTCCTTGAATTCCGTAAAAATTTAGCTTTTTATTCAAAATGATGTGATTTACACAATCAAAAGCTTTGGTATAGTCACAAAAACAGTGGCAGTATAAAGATTATTGTTCAGTGCTTCGTAGACCTCATGTAGGACCAAAATCATAGCATAGCTGGTGCATTTATTAGATAAAAAGCTAAATTGACTTTGTGATAAAATGTTGTTTTCAATGAGAAAGGACGTAAGTTAGGCTTTTATAAGTCTCTCGCTAATTTTGGATAAGATAGGACCCGTAGTAAGACAATAGGTCTATAGTTGCAGACATTAGATTTTTCACCACCCTTTTGAAGAAGAATAACAATGGCTGTCTTTAGGCACTCTGGAAATATCCTTTTTCAAAGGAATTGATAATTAGTGAGACCAGGACATCCAACACATTTTTTGGGAGATTTAAGAAAATTTTTATGGATAGTCCATCAGTGCTACAGGAAGATTTGCTTTTTATACTACTGATTATTTAGATCAGTTCAGATTTATCAACTGGTCTTATAAAGAATGAATTTGAGACCTTTTTGAATTGGAGAGATAGGAAATAGGATTTTATGGCAAAATAGTGGATGTTATATTTTTACTCACAATAACGAAGTATTCATTTAGATTTTCAGGGTTTGGAAGAGAAAATGTTTGAGCACCAGTGATAAATTATTAAAACACAAGAAATATGGTTTTTTCTTTCTTTAGTGGTAGATTGTGTGATAGGAAAATTGTAATGAAACCGGTCATTTTAGATTTTCAGGGTTTGGAAGAGAAAATATTTGAACACCAGTGATAAATTATTAAAACACAAGAAATATGGTTTTTTCTTTCTGTAGTGGTAGATTGTGTGATAGGAAAATTGTAATGAAACTGGTCATTTCACTAATATAATACCTTGGTCATTCTATATAACCTTGTTAACAAAATTTTGACATTTATTTCAGCAGATTTTGTAATTAAAGTATAAATGAAAAATAATTAACAAAATTTCAGTTTTACTTACCTCCAAAAAATATTATTTGTGCTACAATAAAAACAGGTAATTGATAGTAGTTAAATTGTTTGGCTAGACAGCTTGAACACAGCAACCATATACCTATGGAAGCATAATGGAACTTCTTATTGTTATCAGGTCTCCACAGCAAAAATACTATAGAGATGTATCCTATCAGCACAAAGCTCACTAACCAGAAGGAAGATATATCTATCAAAAAATTAAGGGAGCTAAAAGTATACAGCACTAACTGCCATAGTATTCTTACAATTAACCTGGGAGTATAATTGTAAATAAGAACAAAAATAGGAAGTGTCACCCCTATTAATATAATTAATTTTAGACGTTTCCATATATTTTCTCCAATAAACTCTGAAATATCATTTACAATATTTATTGGTACAAGAATTATACCAAACACAATTGGAGTATTATTAGCTTCTAAGGTTTGAAACCATGTTTGAAATTTATCGCGTAGATAACGTTTCATAGGATGTAGAGCTGATCCAACCAGAACAGCCCACATTAGGGGCTTTACGAAGGGTTCTAAAATCACAAAAACTGCATATCCTGCTGCACAACATACACAGAGTAATAAGAGAGCTATTGCATTGTAGAATGCTTGTTTTAATGGTTTATCGTGACCCTGAGGTAGACTTCTGATTGCACTGAATATATTTCCTATTGCTGATCTTTGATCCATTTTAAAATTTTCAATATTAATAACTTTTAAATGACTAGAATCGACGGAAGAGTTTTGTTTACTTATTTTTACCTTACTTCATTTTTGACAGATTAAATTATGTTGGTACAACGTACAACCTAAGCTCAGTAGAAATTTTGACATTTGCTCAAATCAAAGAATTTAGAGCTCAAATTTTAGAGCAATTTTATATTTTAAAATTTACCTAAAATGTAAATTAGAGGGTTTGCTTTATTCTTTTCCCCATTTGACTTATTTTTAAAAATTTTCATGTTTTTTTAATTTTTCTTTGCATATTTTTTGATTTTTTTCTTTTTTTTAGTTATCTCCAAAATTAAACAAAAATATTTATTTTCTTGTACATTGCACTTTTTTGTGAAAAATAGTAAACACTTGAATAATTGCTGCACCTATAGAAAATTGTGTTAATAAAATCATATCGTCGTAGACCATGGAGGTATAAATAATTATTGTAATCTTATAATATTAATTTTGATATTTTTATAAACCTATAATTTTTTATCCCCTCATGATCCCCTCTCATCAGTGCTTGATAAAAATGTTTTTATTATATAATTATATAATGACAGATGATGACAGTCTTCTGTGTTCTACTGGTTCTAGTTTCTAGTGTTGGTGAGTTGGTGACACTGCTTTATTCTTTCGGCATGTTTTAAAAGCAGCTGGTTAGAGGCAAAATTGAAATAGTTTTTATTTTGAATTATTTTCAAAATGCAGCGCGCGTGGTTAGTAATAGATAAGTGCGTAAAGTAATGTCGTGGTTTTAATCTTTGTATCACCACAAATATTTATATAATTTCTGAATTATCTTTTTCAAAATTCACGTGTACTTGTTTATGTACTAAAATTATAAACAAGTTTTAACTAAATAATGAAATTTTTTTTAATAATTAAAACTATATTAACAAGATGGATTTAAAACCCAAAGATGAAAAAAAATTGTACCTGGCTTCCTTCGTTGTAAGTAAAACCTACTTTTTTTAAGAACATAATGAATTTGACCTCCTTCTAAAGGTCTAGGTCAAATTTTGCATTTTTTTCCTTTTTAGGGTGGAGGGGTGGCAGGGTTGTTTGTGGATATGGTGTTATTTCCCCTGGATACATTAAAAACGAGATTACAAGCACAACAGGGTTTTACAAAAGCTGGAGGCTTCAAGGGAATTTATAAGGGTATTGGGCCACAAGCTATTGGAAGTGCCCCTCAAGGTAGGTATAGTTGAATGTTTAATTATTTAGTTTTACTAAATATCTCCAAATATTTTGAAAGTTGACAAGTACTTATTACTTGAGGAAGTTTTATTTCCTAATTTAATATTTTCCTTTTCCTATATTTTATTCTATTAATTTAAACTGTTTCTAAAAAGCCTACTATAGTCTGTTCGCTCAGTTTGGGAATATTTTGAAGGTTCATTGTCAGAAACACTCAACAAAAAATTAATATATCTCAGTATTAATAGCTCAAATAAAGTTACTGTTGCAGACTTCTTTCACTGAAAAAAGAAGAATAATTATGAATAACTTTCATTAAAAACTTGCTATTTATAGTAGTAAATGTACTAACCCATAAACAACTATAAAATTTAAAAAATAAATTTTTGTTTTAATTGACCTAGTTTTATTTGGTTAATAAACTGCATGTCAAGATTTTTTTGTTTAAATATTGACTATTAGCATGTATGCTGGGTTGTGTACTAATTTTCAGCCAATGGGTAAAATTTAACCAACTTGACAAAAAATAATTATTTAATTTACTAGGTAGTTTGGACTGGTTTCAGCAAACCGAGTATAATAGCCTAAATAAAAATATGCCTCCACAAAGAATTTTGAATTTTTCGTTTTAGTCTAATGTCATTTTCAGCACTGTTTAATAGGTAATTTTTGTGTGTATAATAATTTTGTGAAGCTAGTGTTGGTTTTGACTTAACATATATATTTCCAACATCTATAAAATATTTTTAGGTCTATAAGATGTCTGAAAACTTTGTTTTCCTCTTTGTCTATTTGTTATTAGTTAGTCTAGTTTGGTTAGAATAATATCTCAAGTTAATCTTAAGGCTTCCTTTTGAAAATAAAGAAACATCAATCACTGAATCTTTGGAAATATGTATAGAAAAGATAATAATCATGAACACCAACATTATTTTAAGTTTTGAAATTAGAAAAAGAAAAAATTGTAGCTTGTGTATAACATATTTGGAAACAAGCATGGTTAAATCTGCAGTTTAATGACAAAAGTATTGTACAGAAACTTTTGTTATTCTGTTGAATTGTTCATTGTGTCTATCCTACTTCAATAGAATACAAGTAAGTATTGCATCATCTCTTTTTTGGTGGAGAGAGAAAGAGAGAGAAAAAGTTTCAATCTGCTAGAGAGAAACATATCAAACAAACGCAAGAGATATTGTTGTCAGCATGTGCAGCTGGTAAGCTCGTCTATGTTTATATATATGTCTATGATTTGATGCTCAATTAAAGCAATAGTGGCAAGCATGTGAACAAGTGAAGAAATGTTTTACTTCCTTGCATGATTACCAACTTATCTAGTTTTCTATCTCAGTTGAAATCAATTATTGTTTATGACCAATGAAACAAATTATTATCAAGGGCTGTGGGATGTTGTATCTTACTTGATAACTTGATAAAAATGAAGCTTTCTACAATTTGTACATCAACTCAGTCATTATCTTATATAACTTATTTTCTCTGATCATTCATACCAAAGAATAATTCTAATGCCTTATATCATGACTCCATATTTGCTGTTTTGTCATTTTGTTGTTAACTTACCAAACATGTATTTTATTGCATTCATTCCATACAACCTTAATTTTTTTATTTCTGTATATTTCTCTTCATCTTTCTTTAATTTGATATGTAATATGCTTTTTTCTAATTGTTACTAATGAAGAACAACTGGGTGTCTTTTAGTCACAACACCTAATTACTCTTTTGGGTACATAAAATATTTACTTTTCTATGTTGTTACATTCCTTTTCTGTCCCCTTTCATTTAATATCTGATAGCCTTTCTCTAATGATTTGTATTGAATAACCCCTTACATATTTTTTCACAATGCTGTCATTGTCTTTTCCATGTCATTACAAGTATACTCTCCTATATTTTGATATATCATAAGCATTTGTTTGATCATTTAAACTGAAGAACTGTTTCTTTTTTGCATGGAGAAATATTTCTTTCTTCTATGTCTTTATATTCCCCATCCTCTCTGGTTTGATTTACAATTTTAAATTCCATTATTGAATCAATGAAATTGAAAAACCACCCAGAATTTCTGGTATGACATAGTCAAGATTGAAGGTAGAAGAGGTTTGGGCAGAAAGAAGAAATCCTGGCTGAGAGAATGGTTTCAAATACCAGAAGCTGTGAACATAATACATGCGGCACAAAACAGTGAAACCTATTGTTTGATGGTCACCAACCTTTGGTAGAAGACGGCACATAAAGAAGATTATAGTCTCAGACTATATGTGATTTGTTATGTCATACACTTTTCTTTTTGTTATATTTGGGTCATCTTTATTTAATTCTTGCACTGAGTACATTTTGTAAGGATGCCTTTTATGTACTTTATTATTGAACTTTGGCTGGCTGATGTCATGATTAGAGGCCAAAGTTCTAGAGCTTACTTGTGGATTGTCTTGTGCATCTATTAGCATGTTTAGTTGTAAATTGTTGTTAAAGTTTGTTTATCTGTTAATGGTTGACTTCAATTAGTGCTGACTATAAACATACTGGGTTAACCGATAATAGTATAAAAGGCCCGGTTTCAGGTAACAATTTTACCTGAGGTACAAGGTCTTAACAATGTGCCAAGTCAGATAAATTTAATAATATTTACGACCGCACTAATTGAAGTCAACCATTTTCTGCTCAACAAACTTTACCTTCTGCGTTAACACCTTGACTTTGTAACAAAAAGTCTATACTTTGTCCTTCTGTGGGTTACATATCGCCAACGATATGTAAGTACACTTAAGTTTTCGTTACAAGTCCGGGGGATATATAAGTAAAGTGACAAATTTGGACATCTCTGAGCAAAAGTATCTAATTTTATCAAACGAAAATAATAAATTATGGAACCCAAATAAATTAACTTTATTCTGCTTGCTTCGTAGCTCAATACATATGAAAATAAATGTTTACCACAAGAAAGTAATAACAAACGAAATATGATTTTTTTAATACCTATTCTAAGAAAAAGTTATTCATGGTGTTTATTAAAACAAGATAAGCAAAATCCAGGCATATTTGGACAATTATTACAAAAACTTGTTACATAGCGAACTTTTTGGTCAGCTTCTCTACTGTTTAAAGTGGTTCATAGTGTTTGGTAACATCCTTTACATGGTTTCCTTTTTTTTTCGACCTGGAACATCAGGTTTTACAAACATATGAACCCTTTTTCTCATACCATCTACAGGGTGTTGTACTATTTCATCAGATACTGAAAGATTTTCAGCTAACTGTTTCCTGAATTCCAAAATTCCAATCTTAGTTTGGGCAACCATATTGTGACCACCCATGCAATAACTAATGATGCACCCAAAATAAATTCAAACATGACTTTTCTACAATAAATTAGCAATGTAAAATGCTGAACAATTTGACAAACTATGTAACTTACCTATACAACTTCAGATATTTTCTAACTGATGTATGGTAAGAAGAAGTATCAAATGTCTTCTTAATCACTAAAATCTACCCCCAAATGAGCTTTGTTTTAGTCAATAACGCACTGTGGTTTCGAAATGTCATTACCTTGTCTATTACGTTTTCCTAAAATAGTAAAAATTGCAAGGTACTTATTATCAATAAAATATACTGCATTCATTACCAGTAGCAGTTAATGTCGCATCATGACTAGGATCACTGGATATCATTAAGACTAGTCGTTTATCAAACTATTTTATTATTTTTACACCATTACATTCTTGTCCAATAACCTGTCCCTTTTTAGCTTTTGACATATTTCTTTTGGTATTCCTCTTCTATTGCTCCTCAACGTTCCACAATAAATCATTTTTTCCTTATATAAATCTTCGACTAGCGGTATGCTTAAGTAAAAATTATCTCCATAAATGGTCCTCCCCTCTTTTGGCTCAACTATTTTCAAAAGTTCTTTTCCTATTGCATGCGAATGACCTTGTGGTGCAGTTGTATCTCCCTTTCCAGCATATATATTTATATTAAAAGTTTATCCATTTGGAGAACATAGTTTGTATAGTTTGACTCCATATTTATGACATTTGTTAGGGATGTATTGCCTAAAATGTATTCTACCCCTGAAAGGCGCCATTGTCTCATCAATAGTACCCTTCCAGCGTTTAGAATATTATTATATTCTTTTACTAAAATGTTAATATGTTTCGAATTTTACTTAGTCTATCACCAGGTGGCGCATCCTCATTATTGGCAAAATGTATGAATTTTAAAAGTAGCAAGAATCCGTCTGGAACATTTTATCTTTTGACCAATAAGAGTTTATGAATGGCACTTTTGTAATCACCATATAAATCTCAAACGGATAAGGTATAATTTTTATATTTTTCCAAACACGGATTCTATCTTCTGTTCTGGGCTTTCCGTTGTATTATCGATTTCTTTGAATTTTCCGTTACCTACATTTCCGTTTTCTCATGTCGTGTTTTTTTACAGTTCTCCGGCATGTTTTCTTTAACTTGTTTCTATACATGCCCACTAAAGGATTGTGGTCAGATTGAATATCAGCGCCTGGGTAGGTTTTAACACTGTTGAAACTATTTCGATATCTTTTGTTAACAAGTATGTAGTCTATTTGGTTTCTTATAATAACGTTTTCTCCATTGTCTCTAGGTGATTTCCACGTATACAGACGTCTAGGTGGTAGTTTGTAAAATGTGTTTAGCATGATTAAGTCATGTTCAGCTGCAAAGATACTCATTGTTTCTCCTTGTTGATTTCTCTCTCGTAATCCATAAGGACCAATATGTTGCCCTTCTTTTAGAATTGAAACCTCCCATGATAATAAGGAGTTCTTGTCTTGGTATATCTCTTATAAGGTTGCTTATTTGTTTGTAAAATTCTGATATTTCCTCATCACTGTAGTCTGCTGTGGGTGCATAGACTTGTATAATATTAGTGTTAATCAGTGACGTATTTATTTGTAACAAGAGGATTCTATCGTTCATTGGTATGAAGTTGTTGACATATTTGGCTATACTTTTATGTGTGGTAATTCCAACTCCATTTTCATATTTACCATGATATGTGTATGTGCGTCTGGAGAGTTGTTCTTGGGTTAGAATTATATCTGGCCTAATGAAAGCGACCGATGGCGTCTTTTATGCCTATAAGTTACTAAGTTAAGGGTAAAATTGGTAATAATGCAAATGAAAATTTTATAAAAATATTTTTTGTTGCAAAAACTCACATTAATCAAATATTTGTTGTAGCTGCCCTTTTCTTCCTCACCTATGAAACTATTAAACATTATTCAGAAGGGGTAGTACCAAGCTACGCGGCACCAGCAGTACACATGTTTGGAGGGGGTGTTGCCGAAGTGGTGAGTATAATTAGTTACAAAGTAAAAATACAGTCGACAAGGCATAGTACTAACAATTTTACTCAGCTAAAAATTCTTTGATACATGTGTACAATGATACAAATACAATTAACAACAATCAATGTGAACATATTACAAGTATATGCACCCACACAAGACTATGAACAAGAAGAAATTGAAAAATTCTATCATGATTTAGAAAAAGTATTAGCACCTACAAAGAAACACGATCTCAATATTATCATGGGAGATTTTAATGCAAAGATTGGTGAAGGTGAACAGGAAGATATCATAGGAAAATATGGTCTGGGAATACGAAATGAAAAAGGAGATATGTTGGCATCTTTTTGCGTAGAAAAGCAATTAGTAATAACAAACACAATTTTCAAACTTCCAAAACGTCGTCTTTACACCTGGAAATCACCAGCAGATACACCTGAACGAGTTGTTCGTAACCAAATAGACTTCATATGTATAAATAAGAGATACAGAAATTCAGTATTAGCAGTAAAAACATATCCAATGCGCAATGAATGTACCAACAGATCACAATATTTAGTAGGAAAATAAGACTGAGATTAAAAAGAGTTGCAAGGACGAATAAGCAAACAGTTACTATTGATAGAGAAAAGATGTTGAATGATACTGTAAAACAAGAAATAACTAGTATACTAGAATAAAAAATGAAGTTAACATCAAGCAAAGAGGAAAGTACTGAGGAAAACTGGACGAGAATTAAAGACATCTTAAAGACTGTTCAAGAAACAAAATTGAGTGCGCTAAAAGCAAGAAAAAAACAAGGGTGAATGACAGACGAAATACTGAGACTTATGGATCAAAGAAGAGAAATCAGAAATAAAGATAAAAACGAATACAAGAGGATCCACGCAATAATCAGGCAGAAGATAAGACACGCGAAAACACAATTTCATAGTAAAGAATGTAATGAAATTGAACAAAATGAAAAGAAACACGATACATTTCATTCTACACAAGAAATTAAAAGAGGTCGCTGGAGACAAACGGAAACAAGTATCCAAAGTTAGAAGACAGAACGGACACGAATATAGACATCAATGAACAGTTAAAAGAATGGAAAACTACATTTCTGAATTATTTGAAGATGAGAGAGTAGAACACTATACAACGATTGCTATATGAGGTCCATCTATAACAGAAAGTGAGGTTACACGTTCAATACAAACGGTCAAAAAATGGAAAAGCACCTGGCCCCGATGAAGTAAGTGCTGGAAGTATAAAGTTTTGGAAGAAAATGGAATTAAAGCTCTGTGTAATCTCTTTAACAGAATTTATGACACTGGGATATTACCAACTGATGGTTAAAGTCGAAATTTATCACAATACTTAAGAAACATGTCCAAAGACATGCGGTGATTATCGGACAATAGGTCTGATGAGTCACGTTTTGAAGATCTTCCTGCAAGTAATACACAGCAGAATTTACACGCTGTTAGAGGACCGAATTAGCAATACTCAATTTAGGTTTAGGAGTGGCTTGGGTACAAGAGAAGCCTTGTTTAGTATACAGGTGCTAGTACAGAGATGCAGAGATATAAATCAAAATGTGCACATTTGTGCAATCGATTTTGAAAAGGCTTTTGACAAAGTCCGACATAACAAAATGCTAGCAATATTGGAAACAGCTGGATTGGACGATACAGATCTACGAATAATTACAAATCTATACTGGCATTAAGTGGCAAGAATAAAGGTTGAACAAGAACTGTCGGATGAAATAAATATAAAAAGAGGAGTGAGACAAGGCTGTATATTTCGCCTTTACTTTTTAACTTATATTCGGAGGAAATATTTAAGGAAGCCTTAATGGAGACAACCGAAGGTATTATTGTGAATGGAGTAACCGTCAACAATATTAGATATGCCGACGATACCTTAGTGCTTGCTAATAGCGGAGAAGACCTTCAAAATCTAATGATCAAAATAAAACAGACTTGTGATCAATATGGATTAAAACTCAACGTTAAGAAAACTAAATATATGATAGTTAGCAAACAAAATTATATACAGGATGACGGTATAAAAGTCGAGATGCCACACTGGACAGAGTAGAGAAACTCGTGTATCTCGGCAGTAATATCAATGAGAGCTGGGATCCAACCGCAGAAATTAAAAGCCGAATAGAACAAGCCCGCAGATGCCTTTGTAAAAATGAGAAACGTACTTTGCAGTCACGATCTTAGCATTGACCTTAAAGTTCGAATGACATCTTGCTACATCTTTCCTGTCCTGCTGTATGGAGTGGAAGCGTGGACTCTAACTGAGGCTATCCTTAAACGCTTGACAGCCTTTGAGATGTGGGTATACAGACGACTACTGAAAATAAGCTGGGTCGACAGAGTTAGAAATGAGGAGGTCCTTAGACGGCTGAACCAAACAACACAACTGGTCAATATAATAAAGAAACGCAAGCTGGAATACTTCGGTCACATTATGAGACACCCTGAAAAATATGATCTTTTACATCTGATCATTCAGGGAAAGATCCAAGGTAATCGTGGTCCTGGTAGAAGAAGAACATCATGGCTGAAAAATCTAAGGCAATGGTATGGAAAATCAACTACATCGTTATTTAGAGCTGCTGTCAATAAAGTTACGATAGCGAATATGGTAGCCAACATGATATCCAACGATCTATAACGGTCATGGAACTAGAAGAAGAAGAAAAATTCTTTCAAACACTCTCCATCGTCTGTTGTGTTACAAATCAAACGCAGAGAAATAAAGTATTGTATTTTCTGGTATATACTGTTCTATTGTTCTAAAGTCTTATATTGCTGAAAACTCTTTTGAATTAATTGATTCTGACATGGCTAGAGCAAAAGGCAGAAAACAATAAATACATATGTTTTCATTTGGAATTATCATCTTTGTCAGTGACTACTCTGTCCATCGACAAACGTCTTAAATGATTTCATTTGCGAAAAAATGCAAACATTTCATACGAAAGCTGCACTCTTTACCTTTAAAACGCATTTAGATTTTGTCGATGGGACACTCTGATTCATCTGATTTACCTTAAGAATAAATTATGTTTAAAAAATCGATTTCAGGCGTTGTTTCTGAGAGAACGGTTCATTCTACACAAAAAATGCTCACAAAATTGACATTCTTCAACAAAAGTCAACTTGTTCGTCTCGTTTTTAGACGACTGCACTACTTGAAACAGATTTGAATCATTTGAGATATTTCTTAGCTGCGGGATTGAATTTTTGTATTAGAAAATGAATATTTTCAATTGGACGAAGAGTACTCATGTGCATTTTAGAAATTAAAACTTTTTGGAATAACAGATTTTTTTATACTCTGGACATAGGTTTAACTATACCATCACCATTGATCGACTACAAAAGTTATATTTGAATAAATGATAAATTTTTGTAATAATTTTTATTCAACAATGAAAACGAAAGCTCTGTTCTCAAAAAATATAAATAACTGTAAAAACATAAATATGATATTATCAAATAGTTGTATTTAATGTCGAAACGTTACTCCAATAATTAGCCTTGTCACTTTATTATTTATAAATATTTTAATACGTAACGATTTTATCTTGTATTTTAAGGATAACATTTTTCTATTTGTCTTTCATTAATAAACCTTAAAAATTAACGAGATGTTTATACTAAAGTTAGATTATTGTCAAATTAGCCGTTTAATTGGCAGAATGTTACACAATTTTTTCCACGTGGAAGCATGGGCCATAACTAACTATAAAGAAATTTACATAAAGATTATAGATTCTACAAAATTCATTACTGTTGATGTTTTCACGAATAACTCAAGAACTTTACATTTTATCGAAAAAACTGTTAATGCATAAAAACTTAAATATACATTGAAAACTTCAGGGGGAACAAATCTATGATTGATTTTATAGTTACTACTAGAAAAATCCACCCAAAGTAGATTCTAGATATCCGAACTTTAAACTCCGCAGACGCAGGGAGTGAACACAAACTAGTACTAGCAAAGATAAGAATGAAAATAACACCAAAACATTTTCTACAGGAAATCACCGAGGAAACATTCACCAAAGAATCACTGTGGAACGACTCTACAAGAGAAATGTACCAAAGGAGGCTAGCACAAAACATCACATACTCCAGAATCCCGAGACACCTATAGAAGAATACGAAATGAAACAAAGCAGTTGGTAAGAAGAAAAAAAATTAACACTGGGAACAGTTTACAAAAAAGATGAAAAGCGACTTCTACGGTATACAAAAACAGATATGGAGATTCATTAGAAACAAAGGAAAGAAATGGCAGAATTGAAGGAATACAATAACATACCAGCAAACGAATGGGAAAGATACCTGGCGGAACTGTTTAAAGGAAAGAAAATTAATAATTAACACAATAACTTACCTGAATTAAGACACGAAATAGAAATCAGTTTTCACGAAATAAAAAGTTGCCAGAACCAGGCGGAATAACCAACGAGCTTCTAAAACATGGAGGAGAAAGTATAACTCTAGAGATGACAAAACTCATACAAAAACTAATATCGCACTGCAAGATACCAGACGCATGGATAAACAGCATAATGATACCAGTGTTCAAGAAAGGAGATAAAGAAGACCCCAACAATTATAGAGGTATAAATCTTCTGAACACCGTACTTAAGCTTACGGCTGACGTACGGCTTAGACGCCGTATTTGTACTAAGACAAATCACAGAAAGGGCCATTGAGTACAATAAACCAGCATATCTATGTTTTATAGACTTAACAATGGCTTTTGATCGCATCCAAGTCGAAGACGTCTTACACATACTGTATAAAAGAAACATACCAATCAATATTATACAAACCATCGAAAACATCTACTTACATAATCGAATACAGGCAAAGAAAAATCGAAAATTAACACAGAGAATACCAGTACAAAGCCGAGTCCGACAGGGTGACTCGTTAAGCCCACTTCTCTTTAATAAAATTCTTCTTCTTCTTGTA